TTTTTTTTTTTTTTTGTTTGATTGTAATAGCAGATATTGTAATTGACTCGCATTTATATTTTTAATTAGTCATGACTTGTTTATTGGCTTTGTTTATATGACGTGAACTTATTTACTCGATTGAAAAATATTTTCAATTCTTATTATTAATTATTTTTTTAAAATTTAAATCACTTTAATAAAATTTAAAATATTAATTTTTTTTATTTTTCTAAATAATTATAAGTTCAACATAATTTAGAATGATATGGTATGTTGGTGTCCTTATATGTAATTTTACATGTCAACTGCTAATTAAAAATAGCTAATTTTACAAAACACTTTTTACAAACCGCTAATACAATCAGCGGGTCAAAACAGCTAACACAATCAGCTGGTCAAAACAGCTAATGCAATCAGCTGACAGCTAACAGCTAACCGCTGATTACCAAACAAGGCCATTATTGTTTCAAATGAGTTGTTGATAGAATTGAAAATAAATTGTCATTGTGGTACGATGCATGCACAAAATGTTCTGCTTCTATGTTCAAAACCAAAGATACAACATGCAAAGAGAAAAATATCAAAACCAATCTTAGGTATGCACAAAATAAATTTTACTTTATTAAACAATTTTTAAGATATTATATATCTATCATTATTTTAATAATTGTAGATATAGGGTTATTTTGAATGTCGTCCATGGATCACACAATGCAGCCATAACTATGTTTGAGGAAGCGACTACTAAATTCATTAATTGCACAGTTCTTGAATACATAAAATCCATTGATGAGGTAACAAAATTCAATACAACATATTTAATATATTTACTTTATTTTACTTAAAACTAACATCCTTATTAAATTTAATCATCCAGGGGAAGAATAACTCCAAATTTTTCGAGAACTCAGCTTGCAAATTTCAACCACATTTAGATTTCTCATAACATTAAATGCCAAAACCAAGGTGGACAATAAAAAATTAATTGTTGTTGTTGAAGCAATCGAGAAGATAACCCAACTTTGGAAAAGGCAAGAAGAGAATAAAGAACAATAGAGATGTCGATGGAAATTTTCAAGCAGTCGCATCCAAAAAGAAAAAGAAAAAAAACACCATATCACCCACACCTCAACTAACGTTGAAATTTCAAGCGATGAAGAAACCCTACAAACAACGAAGAAGTACGTAAAAAAAATGTCAGCTTCAAGAAACACAAAAACCAAGAAAATGACTGAAATAAAAAAGGAGAAGCCATAAAGAGATTTAACATAGCATTATTCCTATTTTATGCTTCCAATAAAATTGTTCCACGTACATGATGATGAATTTTTTATGATATTATTATCGTTCTCAATTTACCATTTTACCATGCACTACGTTCCTTCTAATTCCACAATTAAATTAAACATCTACCTTCTCTTTGTAACTTATGTTTGGATATAACACCGTATACTCATTCTACATATTCTTACATAGCTATACTTCTTATTTATTTTATTTCTTTCTTAGATTGATTATGCTATCCACACATTCAAAAATTCAAATCAACAAGAATAAAAAATGTTACGACTTCAAACTACATTACGAACTTAAAATTCAAAATTCGATATACGTGCAACGCAGTGCACTTTACTAGTATGGATTAAATGGCACAACCCATCTAAAGCTTTCAAATAAAGAAAGATTAGAATACTCCCAATCGAAGCTAGCTTACTCACCAGGGGAGACTAACAACACAAAATAAAAAAACAAACCCACTTCAAGCAACCCCGACACCTAACAACCGCCGGCAAACTCTTTCTTTCTTTCTTTTTTTTCTCAGTTTTTTGGTTGCTTGAGAAATTTTTGCCAAATAATGCAAATACCAAAACATTTTTTTGGTTTCAAAAAATTTCAATTCGATTCGGTAAATCGTGTTTTGGTTCAGTTACCAAACCGATTTCAACACTGGTTCGGTGCAGGTATCACTTCTTTCATGAATCAAAATGCGAGAAATTACACATGATAAATGATAAATAATATAAAGATAGCAGTATTACTGCGAGTCCAAATGGATTTTGACGGTATGTTAATTTTACACAAAGATATGAGGACATACAACTACGAGAACCACTTTAGGAATATCACTACGATTTGAAGGCATAAATAAAAGTCATGGTCTCAAGTAGAGAGGATAACTACTAACTTAATCACGGGGTGAGCTCCATTGGGGGTGATGGTCTCTCCACAAACGCACAACTTATTTTAGGTGAAGTGAATCTTGAGGATGAGGATGTGAAGAGTGATAACAAACTGACGGTTACCAGAAAGTTGTAGCTCTATGTAGAAGATGCTGCACGATCTGATTCTATCATGGACTTAATATAGAACTCACCAGCCTTGTACGAGGACCTAACCATGGGGCCAGATGCCACATAGCGGAAACCCTGAAACAACCAAAAAAAAAAAAAAACAATTATTTGTCATTCATAGCTTCTATGGCCAGGGCTTCGAATATAAATTTATCTATACTCGAATATATACAACACTATGACGCCGTAAAACATGTAAATAATTTTGTTTTTCCAATATGACACTAGCTTCACAAAATAGAAAATATAATCATCTTTCAACAAGTTCAACATAACCACACACGTGACAAAAATAATAATAAAAACACATGATAACCATTTAACAGACTTTAGACCAAAAGCAATGATAAAAATAAAATATAAAATAAAATAAGCGAATCAAACACAAATGATAAAGTCTGAAACTAAAACTAATTAGTCCAAAAAAGTAGCTCAACCTATACCTAGTGAGCAGTCATTATTGAGCTGCATAAATAAGTTAATATAATTGTTAGTTAGTCGATTATTATTTCGAATGAATCACATTTGTCGTATATAAGCAAAAATTTCAGACGAAGAAACTTCGTCTTATCCTTCTATTTACCATCCATCCATACTGTAAAGGAATAAGAAAAAAAAAAAAAAAAAAGCAAATATAACTTGAAAAATGGCACTGCCTGAGGCAACCCCATGTCGAACCAAGCTCCTCACAGCGCCTTGAAAAATGATATATTTTGCAATTAGAGCAAAATAATGAATTTCACAACTTAAATCTGAATATTAGAGGGACTACCAGCCAATCCATCCCTTTTCTGGCCGCCATTTTCTTGGCTTTGCGCGGACCGCTGGTGAACGTTTGCTGCGTTGCCTGCCTCCTTTCTTTCTT